AATGAGTTTTTAAAACGTTCGTTGCAATAATTTAATTCAGAATTAACTGTAGATTTAGTTTCATTTACTTCTTCAACTTCCCAGATTGATTTTACTAAGTTATTTAACGAATTAATCTCTGTTGACAAAAAACAATAATTTAAGTCATAATTTTTTACATTTGGAATTCTAATGCTTCCAGAAACTAAAAAGCCGAAGCAGCTGTTTTGAAGAAGTAACTCATTATCTTCTAAACGTATTTTATCTGTTTTTAAAAATTCAAAAAATAATTCCGCACCTAATAATAATAAATCTACCTTTTTTGCCTTGAAAAATTCATCATCAGCTAACTTTATTCCTTTCGGAATATTTAATTTCGAAATATCAATAGATTTCGATGGTGTCATGTCAGTTATTTTGGGAACAACTAATAACTCTATTTCCCATTCATTTTCCTTTTCTAAGTTCGATAAACGCGTCTTTATTTGCGATTTAACATTCAAAGTAGTGTTGCCTATTCCACTAACTGGAATAAATGCTCGTTCTTTTTTTATTCCTAATGAGTTCATAACACCTACAGTACAAAAATTAGAAGTCGAAGCTGAATCAAGCACGGCTCTAAAAGGAATTCGTTCATCGTAAACATCGCGAAGATAAACAATCGCTGTATTTATTAACACAAATTTAGATTTATTTGCAGCTGCCATCAAAGTTGTGTGGGGGGGAGAGGGGCAGTCCTCTTTCCCATTCACTGACGAAAGGTTCAAGGTCAATTCATTTTCTTTCGATGATTCATTTTTGTTTTTCGTCAATTTTATGTAACAGCGAATGATGTGTGTCTTTCTTACAGACATAACAGCTAAATTTAGCCTTACACTGCGATAATACGTGTGATGGAGAAAGGCATTTAATGCATAATTTATATTCTTTAACAAAATCATACCGCTCAGAAACAGAAATACTCTTAAATTTCGAACAATGATAAATTGGGTGTGGTTCTTTACACATAATACACTTTCGAAAAGGGTTTGTTTTAGTTACCAAGGATTTTGAATTTCTAGAGCGACTTAATTGATTTGATACTTTAGTAGCATAGCTCTGCTTAGGAAAACTAACTTTGTTTATTTCTTCAAGAATGCGAATTCTTTCTTCGAGAAATTCTAAAAATTCATCAAGTTTGGGAATTTCATTTGATTTTACGTTTAGTTCAAATGCTTTTCTAGATTCTCTATCTAATTTATGCAATAAAATATTTAATATCAAAACATCAGATAAATTATTTCTATCAAATTCTAATACACTTAAAGATCTCAAACATCTTTTAACATTATCTACCAGTGATCTCAACTGAGAAGGTGAGTCATTTATTTTTTCAAAGTTCAACAAATTATTGATAAAGGCATCAACTACTGCTCTTTTGTTTTCATATCTGCTTTCAAGTGCAGAAAATAGCGACTCAAATGTATCCTGACATGATTCTAACATTTTTGCTTCACCTTTAAGTGATGCTTTCAAATAAAACAGTTTCTCAGTATCATTTAAATTATTATTATTACCAATCATAGACATAAATTGCACTTTAAAATTTTTAAAATCTTCATATTTACCATAAAATTGAGGAAGAGGTAAATCAGGCAGTTTAAAATTTGATTTAGAAACAGTTTTGGTTTCAAATTTATCTTTATTATTTGTTTCACAATTAGAAAGAAAAATTCTAAATCTTACTTCGAACTCTTCGATGCTTTCTTCCAATTCTTGTGTAATGCTTAGATTATCCTTCAAGTCAATTTCCTCTGGCAAATTGGTGTATTCCACTATGAGTTGTTTAACCCGAGATTTTAATTCCAACAAAGAATCCAATTTAGTCTTCATAATAACATCATGGTTGAGTTTATTCTCCTCCATTTTATACTCATCAAGGAATTTTATCAAAGCTCCGAGTTTCGTTTTCACTACGCCGCGTTGGCGATTCAATGAAACAATATTAGTAGCCATATTCTTCTCCGGCTAACGTGAGACCAAACTGTTCTTGCCGAAGATAGCTCGAACTTATTTAATGATACTTAACTTCAGTAAGTGGACTGTAATATTAACAATAACAATTTTATTTTAACAAAAACAACATTATTGAATACTAGCACACGCATGTGCTTATAGTTACCTATGTAACTTAGCTAAGAGCGAGCAACCATATGCTCTTACATCAAGTCAGAAATCATTCATACTAATAAAGCAAAAACGAAATAACTTTAGGGTTACACTAAAGCCAAACTCTGCTTGGCGTAAAACAATGCTGCCAAGCAATACTCTTTCAGATACCGAAAAAAGATTTTTTTAGCTTTTATATTAATTTAAAATAGCTGTTTAATTATTGTTCATTGTCTTAAATTACTTCCGGATGAAAATTCCTTCCTTATTATAACACTGCAGTTATCGTAAAAACAAAAATAAAGCATTTTCTGAAACTTAAATATGTGGCCTATAAAATGAAAACATTTTTTTAAAAATCGAAAATTTTCAGCAAAACGACAATTTTAAGGTAGGCACATACCAAACTAATTTACCTAGATAGATGAACAAAACAACCGGATAGCTGGATCTGTGTGACAAATTATTTACAAAACTTTTTAAAACATTTTACTCAAAAGAAGGCTTGGTATCGTGAAGATAGAGAGAACAAAATATGACAAATTTCTTTTATATCGAGGATCAGTCTCTTCCTCATAGGCAAGCAAATATATCAAAAGGAGATCTTAAAATTTTTCGTAAGGGAAATCTTTCCTTAAAACTGGCAAAAATGAGTTTTTGTTTTTCGTAGATTGTTATCTTTTAGAGGTGATTGGTTGGTTAATAAGATGGTCTCAAAGGATATCAAGTTTTGTCACCAACTGTTACTTCTAGATTTTATTTAAACTCTGGATACTTAGTTCGTTTTAGACATCGTGAAAGAAATTCGTGATATTACAAGAGATGTAGTAATATATCACCAGTTCTCAGAAAGTATGATATACAAAATCAAGCTCATTCATTTTTATTTTTTTATCTTTCCTCAAACTTTCTCGTCTTTCACCAAATATAATTTTTTTTTACTTTTAGATCCTTAATGACAAGTTTCCGCTTTTCACAATCCCACTGAAGATTCTGTTGAAAAGGTATAATTACCTTTACAGGTTTAAGTTATTATTCTTCCTCTCTATCTTTTCCATTACTTGTTCTTCGTAAGAAATATTGTCTCCTTCATAAAACATTTTTGATGGTTACATTTTAACATTTTTAAATGGTTAACATTACTTATTTATTGCGATAAATGGAGTGTACACAAACCTAAAATGACACTAATATAAGGATAACTTCAGTAAAATCAAGAATGGCATGGTGCATACACAATTGGTTTCACTTCATAAGAATCAGGAAAACAGTTAGGCAAACTGTAAGGCTACAAAGTGGTAATAGTGGTGTATGACGCTGCATTAGATTGCAGTTAGGTGTTCATGGAAAACTGAGTTGATGAAAAGATTTAGGTGTCTGTAATGGTGGAGGTATTCAAAGATGACAAAGCTCAAATGATCGAGTACATTCTGGCAAACCAAGTACATCGTTATGAATGTCAACATTGTCCCCATGGACAGACAATGAATACGGTATTGTACAAGTCATCAAAAATCCCATTCTGTGGAGCCCTAAAAAAATATCGAGTTTTCTCAAGAAAGAAAGAATTTTGATCCAGCCCAACATTCGGAGGCACGCCATTTCAGTGGCTGGCATTGACAGCAGTAACTGGGATCGTTAGAAAAGATTTAAAATGGTTTCCATATAGCCTAACAGTGCTAAAATGAATATCACCCAAATCGGTTTAATTTTTCTCTTCAAATCTGTTTCAAAATCTGTTTAATATTTCTGTTCACGAAGTGCTATAAAATATGTAGGAGTGAAAGACTTTGAATTTGAAGCGAAAGGCTCTTCTCTGAGAATGAAAAAATTATAGGGTCCAAAGAAGGATCTAACTCCGAGTGTTATTTAAAACTTTTCAATCAGCCAACATACCTATGTAAAATGTTAAAAATTGTATGATTCCATTTAAATGAACTAAAATCTTTTTAAAAAGTTGTTTTTACCTACCCCAACATTCTCGGTCATATGTAACTAAGCATAAAATCATGCGGCTTCCGTACAAGAACCGCGTTCAGATATTAATACGTATTTTAAGAGAGTATAAAACCGAGAAAGACAGCATATAACATAACATAAACATATACAGCATAGAACATAAACATAACCTAAAGAGCATAGAAATGACACAGGTAAGAAAGATTACATTCCCTGCATTTCTGTTTGATAATTTTGAATTAAAAATCCACTATTAGCTGCCTAATTTATTTTTGTTACATACGACTTAGAAGTTTTTTTTAAATGCTTTTTATTTTTCATTTATATGTCAAGTATTAGTTTGCATTTTATGTACTCCTTTCATTAAGCTCTTTATAGTTTTGCTTAGTAAAGGTCACAAAAGAAAGATCTACTTTCGTATGACGAAGGAAACCTGTAATACGAAAAACAGTATTAAACTTAAACAAAAATAGTGAAGATTATTTGCTATTTTTGTCAAGATAGGTATAGTTAGTTCTGCTACCTCAAGCTCGTGAAAGAGTTGAATATATTTTTTCCTGAGTGTTTTACTGCAAAATGTGATTTTATGTCAGTATCAAATACTTGAAAAAACTTGTATTTATTAAAATAAATAAAGACTATGATCTTCGATAAAAATCTCTGTATCTGAAACATTCATTTTTATGAAACTTGATTAACCTAACGATTCAGTTATATGGTTTCATCTTGATCACAACCATTTCGAATATTCGAGATACTAATATTTTCTTCAATCGAAATTTAAAATCATTACAAGAAAACTAAGCATTTAAAATATATGTGGGAATTCTTTAACACTCTTAGTTTGATTATCATTTTTTATTGTGAAGTTTCTTAAAGATGCAAATAATATGTTCTGTTTGAATTTTTTTTAGGTAAATTCCGACGAGAGTTCCGAAAGTCCTTCTGCTTTCTGTGCACCACAGAAGTCGATACCCAGACACCAACAATGACCCAAACTCTCAAGGGAGTTTAAGATAGATGATTTGAACTGTCCAAAAAGACCGTTATATCCCTCAGAAAATTAAATTACGCATGCAATTGCAGATAGTCAAATATATGAGATCGCAAGATTTTCTTGATTATCCCAGAAACGTGATGATTGTGCAAGATAGCAACGCTCCTAGGTGATGAACTGTTTCCCGTAAGCTGATGACAACTAGCAGATAAAAGATAAGAGAACATTACAAGTAATAAATATATTGTAAAGTGCTTTACAAGTACATCGATTGTAAAAGGACAAGATAGGAACAAGTATGATGGATACCCAGTTTGTAAGGTAAAACGTTAGTGTTTATGGACAGCTGTCCGATAAGCAGATCTCATTCGATAAAAATTCTGAAATTTGGATCAGAAAGGACATTTATGTAAAATAATGTGCAACAGTTCTGAAAGTAGAGTGAAGCTTTGTTATCTGCAAAGCACAAAGAACAAGTCGCATTTCTTTAGAAATATTAATTTAATAACCCTTCAAGAAATATAGCAGATTCAACTGTAAGAATCATTTTGAGTCTGCATTTAATTACGCGTAAATAATCACTTGATCTTGATATCTATGTTAACATCAATAATCATCTGATCTTCAGATTTATGGTAGCATCAACAATTATTAGATCTTCAGATTTAAGACAGTATATATCTTTTCTATTACATGATACTGTTGTAATTAACATATTAATGTTTTCTTGCATATTCGTGTTAACTAATCGCATATCAATATTTCGCTGTTTTAAGATTGCATATCTATAACTTACCTTTTTAAATTTCGACAAAACACTCGAGTAGTTTTAAAAGGTCCCTAGATTTTATATAGATTTCGCGTTTGAAACAATGGACTATAAATAGCCTTTGATTGTGGTATTTTGAGATATTTCTCAAATTATTTATGAATTAATTAAAGGTGTTATTTTATTGCGTCTAAATTAATAAAATGAGAAAATTAAAATGTATAAATTTTATATTTTTTAATCAAGCCAAAAATAGATTGTTAGATCTTTTTACAGGAAAAGGCTGAAAAAAATAAATGAAAAAATTTGAATGGTTTAAAATATAACATTAACAACATAATTGCACACTTTTTTAATTTTAAGAATTATCAATTTTGCTAAAGTTAGCAAAAGAAGTATTATATGAACATAATTTATATTAACTATATGTACAATGTTTACGCACAAATCAGCTCTCCCTTAAAACATTGATTATAAGTAAATGCTTTCTCTGCCGTTTTAGTAAATCAAGGTGCTCTTTTCTATACATAACAAGTGAGGAGATATAAGTACCCCGAAGATCTGCGTTCACACCGGAAAATGGTTTAAATATACAGGGTTGAACATTAAAAGTGCAACACTATGAAAGACAAGAACTATAAAAGTCATATTTATTAAAGTATTTAATTCATGCAAGAGTCAAAAGATTAAAATTATAACTCTATTTAACTTGCGGCGGGTAAAATAAAATCAGTACCATATGCAGCCAGCCACACAAGAGTTAATAAGTGCTGTTACACGACCCGGCATTAACTGAAGTCATGTTAGATGTCAATTTAAGATACGGAATTTCGACAAATTGATAGTTCATCTGTTGTAACTGAGGGTATTCTAGAGTGTGACACAAGTTGCACAATAATGGGCGAAATTAGTGAACAGCCGATAGGGATCCAGTAATGTAGGAGCCAAAAAAGATATCGAACGTGATAGTCATTTAGGAATCGATAGAAGTTGTTTGCCACATTCTGTTCCGCATTACCTGCTCCACCAGACCCTGAAGATGAGAAAAAACTGCAGACTCTCTCACCTCAGATAGTAAGGCTGGCTGTTCAGTGTATCAAAATTAATCATGTATTAGCCTCAGGCGGCGGATGAAGTCAATTTGTGGTTGCCAGATACCGAGCAGTATGACAAAGTATAATGCAGGACTCAATCATCCTGTTCTAATGCTACCAGCCACGGATGTGATCATCACGTTGCTGCATTGAGAAGCGGGATTCGTCAGAAACAAATAATGGCATGCAATTTCTTTCTCGATCCTTGACATTTAAGGTTTTTTTGCAACAAAAGGCGCTTCTATGTAAAGTCCAAGGACGTCTTGCGAATAGTCGTCTATGCTACAGAAGATGCCACACAATCTACAGCAACGTAGAATTTTTACAAGGTATCTCGCGGAACTTTGATTTCCATGCAGCAAATTTTGAATTAAGATTTGCGATATGGAAGCTCAGTAGTCCAAGATGTCTTCTCTTCTCTTTCAGTGTTATGATGCAATCATGAAATTATGTTTGTGAAATCATCTTTCCGACCCACCGATTCTATATTCGCAGAACAGTAGCCGCTCTCCGTCCAATATGAACACCAATTTCTCTAAAGCATAATCCGCTGTCGTAATATGCTGCAATTCTCCTCCGATCGGTTTCAAACTTTCTAGTACGGCTGTTACATTCTTCTAAAAGCATAACTTACATCGACTGTGCACGAAACCTTGAGAAAATACAATTCAAGTGTTTAACAACGTCTCAATGTTTCCCATTCTTAAGCTGTTTTTGTCTGTTGTTATTCAAATACAACTTGCATATCTTCTGCATGTTAATCATTTACATATTCTCCTATTATCCACACAAGTTGTGGGTCAAAATGTCCTTCCCGGTGTTGCAATTTTAGAAACTGACAGTGTGATTCTTTTATTACAGTATTTTCCTCAAAATTGCTTTTAATTTCAAAATTATTTATCCTTCTCTAAGTATTCTTTATAACTTAATAATTGAGTAACCCCTATATTTTATAAAATATTATCACATATGTACATATGTAAAACGAAAGGAGAAACGCAAATATGCACTTGACTGTTTTAATCGCTGAATATTAATTATCACATAAAAATAGTTTACTATTTAATCATCACGTTACTACGAATGATCATTATTTTTAAAAGTATTTATAAATATATGAAATTTCAGACGTCATTTACTAAATTCATTTTTTGAAAGTCCACTTCATTTACTAGTAATAGTTAGTATTACGGCTTGCACTCAAAAACTTCACAATGTCTAAAACAACCATGGCAGATATCAAAAACAGTACCAAGGGTAAAAAATTTGTTTGCTAATATTTTTTTAGTTGTGACCATTGCAACTCTGTTTTTTGAAATAGCAACATGCAGATTTGGACCAATAAATCATAAAAGATCCGCGTATTTGACTCAAATGAGTAAGGAGATTTAATTTCAGTTTGTAACCGTCCTTCTGTAAGTACTAAAATTGTTTATTAACAGAGCACGAAAATTTATGCTAAAACAGCAGATAACACTGAAACGGAACACCTAATTGAATTAACGTTCGAGTCACGGAGACGTAGTAATAGTGCACAGCATAACCCCATCGCAGCTGGAAGTCGACTGCTGTAAGTTGTTCTCGTTGCCACTAGATGGCGTCCGATAAAATAGTTCGGTTATTTCCAAATAGTTCTGTTACAAGTAGAATTTAATATGAAAAGAAAGAAACTGAAACTTGTTTTTTAAGTGATAAAAGTTGTTAGGCAAAAGAACAGTTAATAAAGTCAAGTACGAATTAAAGAAAACTAGAATAATACATAATAATAAAAACTGACGCCAAATAAACGTGCTTTATCCCTACTTATTTTACTTTATTTTATCATTCTCTAACAAAGTAACAAGGCAAGTAACTTAAAAAACGCTGCTCCTATAACCCTTTGACGCGCGCTATATTATTTTTAATTTTTTTTAACTAAAAACACTAGAAATCGAATATTATGATCCTAGAGACAAATAATATACGAATTAAAAAAAAATCTACTCTCGCCCATTAATCTGTGGGTGGTGGTTTCGCTGTGAAACCAGCACGCGTCTAGAACTTTAAAACTTACTGAGTTAATAGGAAAAAACAACTTACCTTTTTCCGTACGCATTTCCAATGAATTACGAAATTTGCGAATAAAAAAAAAAAACTGCATTTAAAAATTGCATCAAATATAAATTTTTTACTTTATTTTACAAAGTATATTATCAGAAAAAAAAATTATAATTTATGGAATTTTTCTGCAGCAGTGAAAACATAAGGACGTACATAATAAGGAAATTGGGATAAATAGATGGATAAAAGCCATAAATATAATCATATATCCATGGGTTTTGCATCTTCCATAGAGGTAATTTCGTCATTTGGGCCATAATCCTCAGAAAATCCGGGAATGGATTTCACTACATTCTGCATTTTATTCCATGTTACATCTGCAATTCTGGAAGGACCTGGTAAATTTATATCATCATTTTCTGACTGATCATCACTTTCATCTTCTATATTTCCATAAGCAGGAGGGAAGGGGGTAAAGGAGTATTTCCTTCTCCTTCACTTACATCCTCAGAGACCACTGATTCTGGATTTGAAGGTAATTCTTCAAGTAATGCTAATGCATCAGCTATTTCTAACCCTTTGCAAGGCATTTTGAATCTCAACAGTAGAAAATAAAATATTGGCAAAATATTTTAAAATTTAATTAAATTTTTGCGCGATTTCTATTTTTAATTATTCAAAAAATATATTTGCAATTTTTTGGAACCACACAAAATAATTTAGAAAATCACAGTACTAGCATAGAGAGCAAGCATGTTGAAAGCAGAGAAAAATCGAACGAAAAATATTTTATGGGGGCAGGTGCATGTATTGTTTGGTAATACAATAACTCTGCGATTTCAAAACCCCTTATCTATATCCGGGTGAAAATAAACACTTCTATTTCAAAGCAGCAAACATTACTATAAAGAGCAGTGGTTTCAGGGCGCGACCACCGAGCCTCTAGGGGAATGTGAGCATTGTAACGCAATGCTCTAGTGGGGCAGTGGTCGCGCCCTGAAACCACAAAGGAAATACCATAAATATACACAGGTTGTTTATATATGCAGTTTAATTATGCTGTATTTTTATTGTTTATGATAGAAATAATGATGTGAGATAAAAAAATTTTTTTTAATTTTAAGTTATTAATATAAATAAAAGGAAATTATTTTGTCTCACTGAAAATGAATTTTAAAAGGCATCCGATTTAAAATACTAAGACCTAAAACATGTATAGTTCTGCAGTAATTTTGCGTTATTTAGAGGTAAAAAATAAGTAATCAATCGATTTTCACTCAAACAGTTTGGAAACAAGAGCGGGAAAAATTTCGAAAATTGGTGGTTTCAGGGCGTGACCTGAAAGGCATAATGTACAGAAGCATCAATTCGATTAAATTAAAACCAAAATTCTTAATTTAACTTTTAATCAATTAATCTGTAACAAATTTGAACAAATTTCTGATTTAACTTTGCTTTTATTTGCAGTAGCAAGTAAAGTTAAGTAATAACGTTAAATTTCTTCGAAGTATTACAAGTAAACAAATCTGACATGAAACTACTTTGGTCACTGTAATGAGAATTATAAAATGCAAACAACAGAATCAGTTGAATAATTATTAATACTATATAACTGTCGGATGAGTAACTTGAGTAGGTGAGGTGACACTTGAAAACGTTTATAAGTGGTCCGTGAGGATTAAATGTTTACTCTTACGGGAAGCCAGTTTACTCGTACAAATGCTCCCTGTTCCTGTTCTAGCCAACAATAAAATAGTTGATTTTACAGTTCTTTTTATTGTTTCATATCCGCTAAGTTCGAAAACAGAAATCTTAAAAATTGCCTTTTTCGAACATTTTAAGCAAAACGTTATGACACTGACTTACTTTCGCTACTAATTTCATGCAGACCGTTATTCGTGACAATGACGTAGCTCAATATTTCTTATGTCAAATATCTTCTGCTTGCAGAATGTAATATAAATAGAAATTTTATTTGATTTTAAGCAGTCAATATCTGCTGATAAGGATTCAAAAATCGAAAAGTAAAAATTTATAAAATTTTCTTTCCTAAGTCACC